GGGGATGGGGAGACACCTCTTATCAACAAGGGTGCCTGAACGAAACATATTTGTATACCTAACCCTTAACTGTACCCCACAATATCATAAAAAATATTGGTCATATAAAAAAAAGAAACTGCGCTTCTGCTGTGGCCTGCAGTGTTAGGTAATTGTTTATGCACCTGAGTAGGTTACCCTTCCTTCCCAGCCTTACTTCCCTGCTTTCCTATTGGTGTTTCTAGGACCAGCGCCCAAAGCCACATGTATTTAAATCCTTGCCTAAGTAATGCTTTTGCATAAACCCCGTGGAGTCACCCCAACACCCTGTCCAGTTAGTTCCCTGTCAAGTTTCTCCAGAGCATTTATCATCATTTGACATGACCTCATTTACTCAAGTGTCTCCTTGTCCTCTCTTCTCACATGGGAATGTCAGTTTCATGAGTGCAGGGACCTTTTCTGTCTTGATTGCTGATGTGCCCTAGAACCTGCACCTAGAACAATGCCTGGTATGGAGTAAATGCACAACATATCTGTTGAATGAATGAATGCAAACCAGAGTCTTTCCTTAAGCAAGATTGTCAACTCGTTCAGAAAAATATAACCAGTAAGCAGCAAATGCCAGCAGATGATTTTAGTTGGTTGAAAAAAGAAATTCAGGTTGGGAATACCTATTGAGTTTAACTTGTTCCACAGCCACAGTGTACAGTTTCACAGATATGACTGATTTGTACAAATGGTACTAGCAAGCTGTTAGCAAAGGTGAAATCAGAATTAGGTTCCTTCACCCAATATGCATTCCAAGACATTAAACCATCTAAGAGCACAATCCTCTCAGCACTGGTTAAAAGTTAGCACACATTGAGAGATTTCCCACAGTTCTTAGAGACTTTAAAAAGAACAATTTGGGGGTGGGGACAGAAAAAAAAGAACAACTTATTCATAAAATAAGTACTGGAAGAATGAAATGAAAGTTATCTCCCGCCCGTCAAATTCTGTCACTTGAAAATCTATAACAAGCCCCTGGGCATTTCATACTGATGGTCTCCATCTCAACCACAGTGGAGGCCAAAGTAAATGGCAGAATCTGTTCAAACACAAATGCCACTCAACCCCTTCACAAGAATATCTGAATATAAGGCTAGTGAAGCCAAACCTTGGTGACATATGATGAAACTGACCCTCTGAGAAAGAGTGAACAAAGAATAACAAAACAAGCTCACAGCTGTGATGTTAAGTAAAAGAAACAAAATTGGGAAATAATTTGGGGTCACTCATTTAGCAGCTGACATCTTCCCTCCTATATGAAAGTTTGTGCTGAGAATGATAATCTTACATCCTTTGATTACAATGTCCTTAATCCCTAATAAATAAGGCTCTTATAGTTACTAGACTTGATTTCTCTATAATGCAAGAAAATGGACTCTTGCAATACAGAAATGTATTCTTGACCAAGAAGGGAAAATAAGGATGCTAACTCTTTGACCACTGGTTAGCTGAAAAATTCAACTCACTCTATTCCCCTGAGAACTCTCATTAAACAAAGTTTAATTAAATCATTTTCTAAGTTTCTTTGCTATTTTATTAACAAAAAAACCTTGGGGGTATTATTTGGTAATTAGTGCATTTTTCTTTATCTGTTTTATTTATTTTTTTAATTATATAATATTATGTATGGCTATTATATTGTTAATTATATTCTATTAAAAAACCTACTAAGAAGTTTGATCATCACTACCCTCTTTGAGCTTTTTTGTCTAGTTTATAACATGCCCCAAATGCTGAATCTATTGCTGTATTTACACCGTGACTATTGAATAAAAATAAAATCAATCTACAGGGTGCTTATTTTTCAAGTTATTCAATATTTTTCAAGTTATCCAGCAGGAGAATGCAGGTCTAAACCCACACTTCTTCCACTGTTCCTCAGTATTGGCACCAGATGTTGCTGTACTACTGTATCTCATCTAAGGAGGAGCTGTGTGTTGAGTGAGCTCTTGGGGCTAGTAGGTTATCCTGCTCTTGTCTTTTCTGCCCTCATGGCATTTCACAGTGTGTCACGTGTGGCTAATGAGCGGGTGTGAAGGATGCTCTGTCTATCTTCATTCAAGTGCAAGTGAACTGGTTGGTAAACTGCAAGCATTCAGGACAGAGGTCCTTAACCTGAGGGACACATCAGAATACCCTGGGGGTGCTTTTGCAAATAGCCATCCCTAGGGACTCTGTCATTCAGTAACCTCAAAGAGGAGACTGGCTATCTGTATTTTGACAAAGCTTCGTTGCTGGTGAATCAAACTTCAAGTTTCAATATATTAGAATTATCAAAGTATTCACCAGAAGAATCCCAAAGAAAAGCACAACCAATGAACATTGAGGAGAGGAGGTAGGGAGTAGAATGAGACAATTTATTACTTTCTAATGGAAGTTAGAAACATGGGATTAAAGTTGGCAAAGCAAAAAAGAAAGAAAGAAAGAAAACGTATTATGCAGAAGTGTCAAATAAACCATCAGAATAACCAAATACAGAAAAGATTTATTTATTTTTGAGTTGGAGTCTCACTCTGTCACCCAGACTGGAGTGCAGTGGCCACTCCCAGCCACCGCAGCCTCGACCTGCTGGGCTCCGGCGATCCTTCCGCCTCAGCCTCCCAAGTAGCTGGAACTACAGGTGAGCGCTACCACACCTGGTTAATTTTTTGATTTATTGTAGAGATGAGGTCTCGCTAAGTTGCCCAGGCAGGTCTTGGACCCGTGGGCTCCGGCAGTCCAATACCTCAGCCTCCCAAAGGTGCAGGATTACAGGCTGAGCCACCGAGACTGGCAGAAAAGATTTAAAATAGCTACTTCTATGAAGTACAAGATTGGTGAGAAACAGGCATTTGCTTTTTATTTTATACTCTTCTGTAATATCTTTTTAACCGTGTAATTATATTATATTTTAAATATTGTTTTAAAAAATTGATTCTCAGACAATCCTGATGTACCTTGTTGGTTAGATATCATTCACAATTCACCGAAAAGTTGAGAGGAAGTAGCGGTGGCAGGTCAGGGAAGAGAAGTTAGTTGTTGCATTTACTGTAGCTTTGTTATGATCCATTAAAAAAGCCCTGCTTTATTTGTTGTCTCCTGGCTAGAAATTAAAAAACACTGGTGCAAAACGTTCACCGCGAGCGGGAGGAAGGGGCAAGATGGCGACCGGGCAACCCGGTGTCTGAAGCCCTCTACAAGGGAGATCTGCAGTGGGTCTCTGACTCTCGCCCGGGAGGCTGGGGACCCCAGCATTGCAGCCTGCTCTTCAGACAGAGCTCGGCCATCACTATCGCTGGAACATCGCAACTGACTGGACAGTTTTACTGCATTGCACTGTCCCGTGGCTGCCGCAGCCCCTCCCCCCACCAGCGCTCCCGTCGCCGCCGCGGCCGCCGCCGCCGCCGCTGCGGCCTCTGGCACGGGTAGCTCATCACAACCCGGCCGGAGGAGATCCACACCAAACCGCTTCAGGGAAGATCTGCTGGGATCGCTGCCACCGCTCCTGCGTCCGAGACTGTCCTGTCCGCCTGGCGTGGGGATCCGGTTGCCTGCTCGGAGGCAGGCAGCCATCTTGTTCCTGTCCGGCCCCACCCCCTCTGGGGCGAGCAGATGAGATAGCACCACCTGCTGGCGATTCAAGGTAACAACACCGAAACGGGAGAAACAAGCTTGATAAAGACATAGACCAAACTTCTGAACCGAGGTTATTCTGAACTGTCCTTCACAGCAGATCAGGGGAACGGACCCTAACTGCAAACTAATTTACCAGCTTGAAAAGAAAACTAGAAATCAGACCTGAAAGGACATTGGACCTAAACGAAATGTCACAGAGTGTGCTTCATTGATTCTATTAGTTTAATGACTTAATTCTATTCCTACTCTATTGTTCCCTTTTTTCTCTTTTCCTTTTCCTTTTCTTCTCTTTTATTCTGTCTGTAAACCATGTCTTTGTATAGAGGAACAGCACACTAATAAGGTGGTTGGATAGCTGGTATGTTAGCATCACTATATGTTTTATTTTTGTTTGTATGAGAGTTGGTTCGACTGTAGCTGTGGTCTATTGTTTTTATCTGTTTCAGTATAGCCTCTCTCTCTATTTGTTGGCACACTCATTTGTTTCCCCCTTTACTCCTCTATCTCTCCACTCCCCTTTTCAACCCACTATCTGCTCCATTCTCTCCCCTCTGCTAACCACATTTTATTTCAGGGAGTAAACCTACAGCCCCACTGCCCTAGAAAGATTCCAGGGCAGTGGGAAGTGGGTTCCACATTATCCACACGCCTGTCAGCGAATACCAGGACCTGCAGACAGATTTTGAATCACAGCTCTCCCCTTAAGTACATCTCAAAACTGCAAAAAGGACCACCTCCAACCTAC